GAGCTGGCACACCCCTGGCCAGCCTGTTAGCCAAATTTTGAGAGTTGGGATCCATTGAGGATCAGGTTCAGACCTAAGCAGCAATTTGGATGTTGTCATGCCCTGAACCTTAACTTAAACACATAAAAGGGAGTGGGTTATAGGGAATTCACAACAAACATGTACAACAGATGCAAAGAGAGAGTAGCATATTCAGTACAGAACATGAACAACAAAGTAGACAGGAGTGAAGCAATTGTAAATTAAACACATAGGGATGGTGCTGAAATCAAAATTGAGACACACCAGTTTTAGGGAAACAAATAAGTGAAAGCTAAAGTCTTGTAAACCAAATTGCAAGCAAACAGTACAAAAGATCTCAGAAGAGAGTAGAGTATTGAAAGAGTATTGTAATTGAGAGGTGTGTGTGTAAAGTATTGAATTCGAAGTGTTGAACTGAAGGTTCAAGGTTAAGTTCTCTGGTCTTAAAATTGCAAAAGGGAAGCCCCTTTTATAGTGCAGAGAAGCAAGTAAGAAAGGCAAAGAAATATCATTGAAATCAGTCTCCCTTTGGTTAAGGGATTCTGATTCCAACTGGTAAATTTTAATTAAGGAAAGAAATTTATAATTAAAACCTTTCAAAGTAGACAAAAGGGGTAAATACATAGAAGTTATTTAAGGGAAAAGTTCAATAGTACACGGAGTGGAAAAATAAGGAAAGGGAATAAATCAAACAGCTAGGGAAATCAAAATTACAAGTTTAATTTGAATGAACCAAGTTAGGAAAAGGTAAAGGAGGTTTAATTAAAGAAAATCAATAACAATCAATCAAACCCCCGTTAGAGGGTTTTAGAATCAATTAATTAGTTGGTAAAAACCTTTTGAAAGCAGAGTCCTTATATATAAAGCACACAAATATGTAAATACCAGAAGGGATTGTCAAATTATTTAGAAGAGAGTTTAATCAAAGAAAGGTTCAAAATTATAAGCAAAGGGATACATGTCTAGTTTGCAGGCTCACAATGATTCTGAGAGTCCAGGGTCCCAAAGTGGAACCCTAACTCGCACACAAAAGATCAAATTGCCAAGAAATCCCCAAATCTTAGGGTTTCGAATTGAGTCAGACGATAGAGATCAGAAGGCAAGCCACTCGATAGAGGCTCAGGAGTTTTTTCCAAAGACTTATGAGAAACAAACAGACGCGATACACAGTCAAGAGCATAGAGAACACGTTTTGAGAAAAAAACGCAGAACTTAAACAAATTCTTAGGTAAAAAAATATGAATCATGCTTAGTAATAACATAAACATAGTCTAGTAAAGCAAACAACATCAAAGAACTCACAGTAAACACATATAGTAGAAGAGTAAGGAAAACATAACACAGATTAACATGTGAGTACAAGAGAAAAGAAAGTAGAAGGATAGTACATGCGTAGTAAAAGAAGTCATACGAGCATAACACAGACGAACACACATAAAGAAAGAACAGAAAGAATCAGAAAGATATTTTGAAGAAACCTTTTAGAAACCCTAAATCGAGATTAAATGATTTTGAAAAGAAAATTTGGGGAAAAAGTTCAGTAGACCACAGACATATTCCAAATCTAAGAAAATAAGCAAGTAAAGAACCTCGGACAGCTTAGGGTTTCAGAGAAAAGCCTAGAAATGAGAAACGTCTTGAGGAAAGTCAGATTCTGAGTCGAAAAGACTCATATTGCTTGAACATGCTGGAATAATAGTCGGAGAAGCCATAGATCTACAGATGAAGGATATGAAGAGAGCCATCGGGGTCGGTCCTTAAAATATCGAACATCCAAGTTTGAGTGGTGGAGGGGAGTGAGTACCAACCATCCATGGCTTGAGAAGCCATGGATTCCGGTGAAAGGCGGTTGAAAAGGGGTAGGAGGAGGCTAGGGTTCCGTAGAGTTTTGAGAGAGTTTGAGAGACGAAGGGTTTCAAGGCGGTGGGTCAGGTGAGAATGAGGGAGATTAGGGTAGTCGTTTAGGAGTTAAAAAGGAAAGGGCTAGTTTTGGCCGTTGATCTTGAGTGATCAACAGTCCAGATTTAAGTGGTAGGTAGGGAACGGGTTGGGTTATTTAAAATCGGGTCGTGGGTTGGGTTAAAATTGGAATNAACTCATACTTTCGTTGATGGCCTTGGCCATTGGGTTGTTGCTTCGAACTGTCGTCGAAGTAGAATCCTGTCGTAGTTCGAACAAGGTCGAACTCTTACTTTCGTCGATGGCCTTGGCCATTGGGATGTTGCTTCGAACTGTCGTCAAAGTAGAATCCCGTCGTAGTTCGAACGAGGTCCAACTCATACTTTCGTCGATGGCCTTGGCCATTGAGATGTTGCTTCTAACAATCGTCGAAGTAGAATCCTGTCGTAGTTCGAACGAGGTCGAACTTATACCTTTTGGAGATTTGATCATATTCCCGTAGGAAGACGTCACATGTCGATAGTGGAGATCTGGTTCTGCACATATAATGGAGATTTGATTCCATTCATACAATGGACATTTGATTCCGTACACACAATGGAGATTCAATTATCTGTGTAGTCCCTTCATTACTTTGATCAGGAGGTCGTATCGACGGGTCGAGGTAATGAACAGCATGTCGATTCTTAAGGCTACCCCCTTACTGCCTCGTTAAAAACCTCCCTGGGAAAACCCGATTGGGACAAAACTCGGGTAAGGGAAAAATTTTACGACTTAGGTGACACCTTCTTTTGGAAGTGGAAATACTTGAGATGAGCGATGTTCCAGTTGTTTTGGAGTAGTTTTCCCCCCATTGTTTCTAGCTGGAACGCTCATTTGTTTGCTGCTGCTACGATTTTGTATGGTCCATCCTAGTTCGTTCCCAATTTTCCTTCATTAGGGTCTTTTGACGCTTGTGTTTTGGCCTTGAGAACGTAGTCGCCAACTTTGAGTGGTTGCACCTTTGCTTTCTTGTTGTAGTATCTTTCTACTTGCTGCTTCTAGGATACCATTCTTATGTGAGCCATGTATCTTCGTTCTTCAACTTTATCCAGATCTTGTAGCCTACTTTCATCGTTGCCTGTTCCGCTCTTATTGGAGTATCTCAAACTGGGCTCCCGACCTCGATGGGTATAACTGCGTCGGTCCCGTAGACCAGTGAATATGACGTTTCTCCTATGATAGTTTTTGGCATAGTGTGGTATGCCCATAATACTTCTGGTAGTAGTTTAGGCCATAGCCCTTTAGCTTCCTCAAGCTTCTTCTTCAATATGTTCAATATTACTTTATTGGAGGATTCGGCTTGACCATTGGCGGCAGGGTGGTATGGCATGGAGAGTATTCGTTTGATGCGCCACTTTCCGAAAAACTCAGTCGTTCTTTTTCCGACGAACTGAGGTCCGTTGTCGCAGCTAATTTCTTTGGGGATGACAAAACGGCAGATAATATTTTTACATATGAAGGGGATGACCTCTTGCTCGCGTATCTGAGTGTATGCACCTGCTTCCATCCATTTAGAGAAGTAGTCAGTTAAAACCAGAAGGAAACGTACCTTACCTCGTCCTACTGGGAGGTGGCCAACTATGTCCATTCCCCACTTTATGAACGGCCATGGCGAAGTAACGGAATGAAGGAGCTCCCCTGTTTGGTGTATCATAGGGGCATACTTTTGACATTGTTCACATCTCCTGACATAGTCGGCAACTTCTTTTTTCATGGTGGGCTAGTAGTATTCGGTGAGGCATCGGACGAGGGAGGAGTTTCCCGTATGGGCGCCGCAGTGCGCTTCGTGTACTTCTTCTAGTACTCGCCTTGTTCGATGTGGCCCAAGGCATTTAGCTAGGGGGCCGCCGAACATTCTTTTGTAGAGATCGTCGTTTACTAGGTTGTACCAGGCTGCTTGTACCCGGAGTTTTTTTGCTTCTTTTTTGTCTTGCGGGAGCGTTCCATCCTGCAAATAGGCTACAAAGTGGTTACGCCAGTCCTAAGTTAAGTTTATAGAATGTACCTCGACGTGGTCTATTGCGGAATGAAGTAGGGTGACCACGTTTTCCTTGTTGATATTCTTGGTGGCCGCATCCAGTTTAGCAAGGCCGTCTACTTCGATATTGTGCGCCCTGGGTATTTGGTCGAGCCGGCATTCGTCAAATTCTGGCAGTAGTTTGTGGATTTTTGACTGGTATCTTTGTAGCCTCTACTCCTTGATTTGGAAAGTCTCGGTGACCTGATTTACCACAAGTTGAGAGTCGCAGTGGAGGACTAGTCGTTGAGCGCCATATTTGAGAGCTAACTTCAAACCTGCAATCAAAGCTTCATACTCGGCCTCGTTGTTAGTCATCTCGGGGCATCGTATGGACTGGAGAATTACTTCACCTGTAGGGACTTCGAGGACGAGTCCCAGTCCCGATACCGAGGCATTAGAGGCCCCAGAGGTCGGTACGTGTAGAAGTGTGGAGTGTTTTCTGTTCTACCTCGGGCAATATTTCTGTGCTGAAATCAGCGACGAAGTCTGCGAGCACCTACTACTTGATGGCAGTTCGCGGTTGGTATGTTATGTCGTGCTCGCTTAGTTCTATGGCCCATTTGGCTAATTTACCCGATAGTTCGGGTTTGTGTAGGATACCCCTTAGAGGGAAGGTTGTCACCACTATAATGGGGTGACATCGGAAGTACGGTCTAAGCTTCTGTGAAGCTACGACTAGTGCCGGAGCTAGTTTTTTGAGGTGAGGGTACCTCGTCTCGGCATCGATTAAAGTTTTGCTGATATAGTAAATCAGGGATTGTGTACCTTTATTTTCACGTACCAAGACCGTGCTTACCACGACTTCGAAAACTACTAGATACACCAGTAGGCATGCACCTGGGTCCGCTTTAACGAGCAGTGGTGGCAAAGATAGATATGTTTTCAGCTTTCTCAGGGCGTCGATACATTCATCATTCCATTGCAACCCATTATCTTTCCTTAGTACATTGAAGAATTTATGGCATCTATCTGAGGATCGTGAAATGAACCTTGATAGGGTAGTTGTCCGTCCTGTCAATTATTGCACCTGCTTTTTGTTGGTCAGTATTTCTGGTATTGCATTGATGGCCTTGATTTGGTCCGGGTTGACCTCAATTCCCCTTTGTGACACTAGGAAATCGAGGAACTTTCCAAAAGTCACGCCAAAGGCACATTTTTCGAGATTTAGTTTCATTCCGTACTGCCTTAGTATTTCGAAGGCTTCCTTCAGATGACTAATATGATCTTCTTTCTTTGCCGCCTTCACTAGCATGTCATCGATGTAAACCTACATTATCTTACCAAGCTGTTCTTTGAACATTTAGGTGACTAACCTTTGATAAGTGGCCCTTGCATTCTTTAGCCCGAATGACATCACCTTATAGCAGTATGTACCTCGGTGAGTGATGAAAGTCGTCTTTTCTTGATCTTCTTCAGCCATTAGAATTTGGTTATAGCCGGAGTATGCATCCAAGAAGCAGCAATTCGTGCCCTGCTGTTGCATCGATAAGTTGGTCGATGTGGGGTAACTGGAAAGAGTCCTTAGGGCATGCTTTGTTCAAATCGGTAAAGTCGACACACATTCGCCACTTCCCATTCTTCTTTTTGACCATGACCACATTGGCAACCCATTGGGGGTATTTTGATTCTCTGATGGAACCGTTGGCGAGTAATTTATCAACTTCTTCGCTGACCGCCTCATTGATTGCGGCATTGAACTTCCTCCTCATTTGTCATATTGGCGGATAAAGTGGATCGACATTTAGCTTGTGTGTGGCGATATCCCTTGGTATTCCTGGCATATATGAGTGGGAAAAAGCAAATAAATCGGCGTTGTTAGTTAAAAACTCACGATACTCACCTGGCTCCGAGAGGTTGTGTCCAACATAGGCCTTTTTTGTACAGTCGGTGTTATCTAACTAGACCGGATCAAGGTCCTCCATGGTTGCTCTGCAAGCTTCTACAATGTCAGGATCTTTGATGGCCTCTACTTGTATGTCAGGTTTGGTGCCCGACATGGCTGACTGTTATGCTTCCGCGCTTGCCCCTTTTAGCTGCTTGGTGTGTGTGCAATCTTGGGCGATCCGGTATCATTCTTGGGCAGTGCATGGCTCGCCTTGGACGTTGAATATCCCCCATGGTGTGGGAAATTTGATCACTTGATAGAAGCTTGAGGGGACGGCTCGCATGGCGTGTATCCATGGTCGCCCTATGATGGTGTTGTAGGCATTTTCCTGGTTCATGATGTGAAATGTTGTTTCCAGGGTGACCCCTCCTGCTAGGACAGGTAGCACTATTTCTCCAGATATCCACTCTACTGCATTATTAAAACCCATTAGTGTTATGCAAAGTGGTATTATTTTATTCTCGAGCCTCATTTGCATGAGAACTCGCGGGTGAACAATACACCTGCCGCTTCCGTCATCCACCATGATTCTTTTTACATCGGTGTCAGCGATGCGTAAAGTTATAACCAAAGCATTGTAATGAGGGAAAGACAAACCATTGGTATCTGACTTATCGAAGATGATACTATCATCGAGGTCATCATATCGTTCATGGGCGACTGTCTGTTTGAGTTTGTGAGTGCTAGTGAACTTCACATGGTTGATTACCGTATCATCGCCGCCACCAATGATCATTTGTATGGTACGCACTGGCGATGGTGGCTTTGGAGGTCCTTGAGATGGGTCGCGCCCTCGAGCGAAGTTGGCCCTTTCTTTATCGCTTAGCAGTTCTTTCAAGTACCCCTGGTTTAACATCCTAACTGCTTCTTGCCGCAGACCTATGCAATCTTCGGTCGTGTGTCCTCTTTCTTGGTAGAATTTACAAAGGACGTTCGACCTCCTGGTGCTTGGATACGATTTCATCTTTTGCAGCCACTGCACCTTTATGCCCAGTTTCTCCAGTGCGTACACTATTTCTGAAGGGGAAACACAAAAAGTATGAGCAGATAGTAGTGGAGGCATACCTCTTTTGTTTCGGAGGGGTGCCGTGTGTCGTGGCACGACGTCCGCGTGTCGCGGAGGGGCGGGTTGGATGTACGGATATAAGGCTGATGCCTTTCTTGATTGAAACATGGTGGTTGATCTCTTCGCCCATCGTTACGTCAATCTCTCCTTGTCTCGGTTTGGATCGATGTTAATCACTGAAGCGATCCGTTCAGGTCGTCCTCATCTGCCCTTACCTCGGCGCAATAGGCATTGTGGATTTCTTCTCATGTGGCAGGAGGGGTACTTCATGAGTCTACTGAGCAGTTTTTTGGTTGCCTTTGTTCCATTCCTGTTAAACCCATTTTGAAAGGCTTTTACTGCCATCCCTTCTGACATGTTCGGTATACTCATTCTTACTTTGTTGAATCGGGCCAGGAAATCCCGACGTCCCTCGCCCGTCGTTTGCCTGACGATAAAGATATCGTTGAACCTAGCCTCGGCCTTCTTCGCTCCTGCATGGGCGGTGGCGAATTTATCCGCCATCTCTTCGAACGCCGATATCGATCGCGCTGGTAGTTGGGAGTACCATGTCAATGCTCCCCCTGTCAAAGTTTTGCCGAACTTTTTTAATAGCACAGACGGTACATGTTCTTTTGACAGATCATTGCCTTTTACTGCAGTAACATAATGGATTAGGTGATCCTCCGGGTCCGTGGTCCCGTCATATATTTTCAAATATGGCGGCATCTTGAAGGTCTTTGGAATAGGATAAGGAGTAGCCCCTTCACTGTATGGTTGTTCGACGAATCGGCCCACGTCGCGTTTTGGTAATAGCATCGGAGTGCCCGGTATTTTATCGACCCTCTCCTGATGTTCCTTCATTTGGTCGCGGAGTGTTTTGTTCTCATTTTCCATCTCTTCCATTTTCTTTAAGATGGCCATGAGTGCATCGTCACCTGCATTAGTAACAGTGCGGGTGTTACCTGTTCATGTAGCACTTGGCTCGTCGGGGGTATCTGTGGTTTCCGTTGGTGGCACGTCTTCAACATCTCCTTGAGTGGGTTTCTCGAGCATGTTGCTCAAAGCACTCGTTAGCCATTCTTCTAGTAGCCTTTTGACTGCAGGTGAGGCTTCCCCCATCGTGGATGTTGAGGTTCCCCTTTTGCATAAGATCGTTAGATCTCCGTGTGGAAGAGGTGAGATCTCTCTCTCCGGTGTAGCGCTTGATGTTGCATTCTCATTGTCTTCTGTTCCGGTTTCGTTGAGGGACTTCAGGAGATTATTCGAGACATCTGCTACCGCATTTAGCCTCGCTTCCTTTCCCACCATTGTTGGTTTATACGAAGTTTGAAGAAAAGTAAATATCACCTTCAGGGATCTAGATGAGAACTATGGTTTAAGCTATAGAAATCCTCACAGACGGCGCCAAATTTTTTGACTCAAAAGAATTTAAAACTTTTTTAGACAAATCAATCAAAGATGAAGGGGTAAATCGTAGTTGAAGATAATAATCTCTAGAATAATAATAAGTAAAAAGAAGAGAGTTGCCAAGTTTTCGTTTTGTTCGAGATGGATAAGTTTCCCAGAATTTCGCCCCCTTTACAAGGTCCTGTTTTTCCCCTTATATACTAGAGAGAAAACATTCGAAATTATAAGAAATAAAAATACAAGGAATATTCGACGGAATATTCTTAATGTCTCCTAATGGGCTTACATTTTTACAAGGGTCGTACAGTTTCTACTTTTGCCTTAAGGTCGCCTCCCTCGGGACGCCGATTCGAAGATATTCGGTCGTTGGTCGTACTCATCATAGGTTGAGGTTGGTCAAATTTGGACTCATACAGTTGATAAAAGTGTTATGCGATATCAAAATATCCAAAAAATGAAAGAGAACATTAATCTACTAAATGGTGTAAGCGAACAATTTTACCAATGTCTTGAAAAAGGATAAATTATTGTAGATTTTAATTTAACTAATCTCATCTTATATTCCTTAACAGATATTATTTGTATAACTTAGACATGCATGTCATCTCCTAGTTATGCGATGACAGCTTTTACCTTCGTGTTAGACTCCCCTTTTAAAGCCAATAATGTTATATGAACATGGTATATACATTTACATATATATTATATAAATATATTCGGGGTGTAACCGAAAAAGATTTGAGTGCCTAATGTCGAAAGTTGCTTTACAAAGAAATAATTGAATGTGTCATGGCTAAGATGCGTAGAAGCCGTCAGTCGTCCAAGGTCAACGGTTTATAGCCTGTTTAGCCAAGCTTCTCAAGGGAAAAAAGTGTTTTTTTTTTCAAAAGCACTTTTTTTTTTTAATTTGAGGTATTTGGCCAAGCTTATTTGGGGAAAAAAAGTGTTTTTGGAAAGACGCAGAAGCAGTTTCAGAGAAGCAGAAAAAAGTAGTTTCTTTCCAAAAGCAGAAGCAGAAGCAGTTTTGGCTTTTCTTCTTACCTAAAATACCCTTAACAAAATATAGTATATACCAAAATAACCCTTAAACCTAATACTTAGGATATTAGTTTATAAATATTTCTTCTTATTTTTAGGAAAACTTTTTAATATATAATGACTTTAGGGGTGAATGCTTTTATATTTGTTGAAGGAATTTTAATATATTTAACTTATATTAAAAGAATTAAGTACTTTTAAATTTTATTTTCATATTTTACTTAAATAAAATGAATTTTTTTTAATTATTGCATGTAATAACAAAATTTTGATATTATTTATTTACTTATAATATTAATTATTAAGTAAATATATTCATGTCCTTATTCGTAATTTGACACTTAAAAGCACTTTCTAAAAAGCTTGGCCAAACACAAATTATTTCTCAAAAGTGCTTTTCAGACTAATTAGTCAAACACAAACTGCTTCTCTCCAAAAGTACTTTTTTCAAAAGCACTTTTGAAAAAAGCACTTCTCAAAATAAGCTGGTTTCTCCGGCTTGGCCAAACAGGCTATTACTCGCCTCACTTTTTCCTTTACAATAATTACTTGACCTAACTCTTGCTAAATTCGAATGAAGAATGAAATATCTTTACTAAATAAGCAAAGCTCTTTCTTTCTTGGTTACCATGTCTGATTGCAGATAAGTACCTTTGGTAGAAGCGGAAGCTGCTATTTTTGGCTCGAGGTTTATTTAGAGCAAATGATACTGGAAGTCAAACCATTTTAAAAATCTAATTGTCGCTCCTGAACAATAATATCAGTCTCTAGCCCTTCTAACTTTTTCCGTGGAAGCCAATATTTAATATTGCATAAATTTTCAGGCGACAACTTAAAACGCAGTGTTTCAGCTTTAATTGTTTTTCTTTTGCTTCTTTTCATATTTCTGTTAATTTTTTACTTAACCTGCGATAAAACGTAACTTTGTCTAAAGTGTGCATAAACTACCATGAGAACATATGATATAGCATTAAACATGTTAAACTAGACCTTCCTCTCACTTCTAGATCTTAATTGTTTCTCTAGTATATAATCCTAAATATCAAATATTAGAGAATACTTTAAACTGCATGAAAATGCATTTCCGCAGGTGGATTTAAAACATTAATTTTAGGGAGCTAAGACCAAATAGTGGATGATATGACTTGGGACGACACGTGGCACCTAGGATTGACTTGCGGTTACCAACCATACCACCCAGGCAAAGACTAGACAAATGTCTTATCAACACCACCAAAATGTCCTTTTTGGGGTCACTTTGTCTAAATCCATCTCCCCCACCATCCCAAACAACCTGTCATTGGCCTCTATAATATAAAAGAGAAAAAAATAAGAAAAGCTATAGCACTCATAACACAAAAACATAACTTTTTTTTGGGTATACTAAACTTTTATACAACATTAAAGGTATAAACTTAGTTATAATATTAGAGTAATATGCAATAATTGTTACAACCGAAAAAATCTAGGTGTCATGCAAAAGTTAATAAAGCAAACCTTGAACGACGATAAATCAGATAACAAACAAGAAATATACCAAAAGAGATAAAAATATTTAACGTGGTTCGGTCAATTGGCTTACGTCCACGCGGAGATGAGCAATCAATTATAATAAAAGAGAGTACAAAATATCGAGAGAAAAAACTCACGAAGTGGCAAACACAAGTGGCACACTAACACTTGTCTCGTAAAGTTATCCCCCTAAACATTACTCTCAAGCCTCATATGGCTACATTGTGGATGCTAGTGAATGAGAAGGAATGATCCTCAATTTATAGAAATCTAAAACCTTTTCCCCAAAGAAAAGGGACTAGTCAAATATGAAAAAATTATATTTTCCTTCTAGGAAAAGAAAATCAAATTGTGATGAACATGTTGCCTTTCCTTCAAGAAATGGGAGAACCAAATATGGTAAGAAATTAGGACAAACACCTAACAATACTTCTCTTTGGCTTGAATTTTCTAACAAAATAAATTTGATCCACCTTTTTCACATGGCCTTCAACAGGTCGCATCTCCAAATATCCATCGCAACGTTTGTCCCAACGTATGTAGCACTTCAGTCAAATTTTTCAGGCAAAAATCATGATTACCATCAAATAAGTTGCGGTTAGAACTAAACCTTCCAAGATGAACCTGTCTTGAACCTTGCTCTGATACCATTTGTTAGAACCGTAAAAATCAGGTGTCATGCGGAAGCTAGTAAAGCAAACCTTGAACGACGATAAATCAGACAACAAATAAAAAATATAGCAAAAGAGACACAAACATTTAACGTGGTTCGGTCAATTGACCTATATCCATGACAGAGATGAGCAATCCACTATAATAAAAGAGAGCACAAAATATCGAGAGAACAACCTCTCGAAGAGACAAACACAAGTGGCACACTAACACTTATCCTGTAAAATTCTCCTCCTAAACACGACTTTTTGACCGCATATGGCTAAATTGTGAATGCTACTGAATAAAAAGGAAGGATCATCAATTTATAGAAGTCTAAAATATTTTTCTCAAAGAAAAGGGACTAGCCAAATATGGAAGAATTATATTTTCCTCCTGGGAAAAGAAAATCCAATTATGATAAACATGTTGCTCTTTCCTTCAAGAAATAGAAGAACCAAATATGATAAGAAAATCAGGGCAAACATCTAAAGGGTTTCTAAACATGTTTTCTAAATTATACACCAATACTGATTATAAGAAATTACTAGTAATTGCTTTTAAAAGATATATATATATATATATATATATGGGTTGACTTCGCCAAAGTGTCAGTGACAAAATAGCCTGTGCGGCGCTCGTACTCCTACCTGACTACATGCCAGCTTTTTCTTATCCCCGATTTTCTAGCACGATCCTATGCCTATGTTGAATCTTGCCTTAGAGGCTTAGCTTAATTCTCGGTCACAACCCAAATCCTAACATGTCGTGATGGCGCCTATCGATGGTACCAGGCAAGACGACATTTTGAAAACACTTCCGCTATTACACAGAAGATAAATCAAAAGGTCGTAAATAAAGCAGAGTTTTCGAAAACGGAGTTTAATCTCAAAACACAAGTGCGGAATAATAGCCCCAACATCGGGATGTCACTAACTCATGAGCAATCTAAGCAGCTAGTCTAAGAAATAGCGTCTACAAGAGTCTGTATCAAATACAAATAGAGAAGAAGACAATGAGGGAGAAACAAGGACTACGAACGCCGGCAGCTACCTCATAAATATCCGACAGTAAACCGAGCATGAAATCAACGCCACCGTGTCTTGAAATACCTGGATCTGCACATGAAGTGCAGGATATAACGTGAGTACAACCAACTCAATAAGTAACAATAATAAATAAGGAACTGAATGATAGTGACGAGCTACACAAATATATTGCATTTTTAGTAGTCTCAGCAAGGAAATATAGACATGCTTCCCAAATTCGGTAAATCAAGTCAAATC